TGACGTTATAACGGGCGTGCGGGGTGACGTGATACATGGGGTTCCGACTATTATAGGGCTGCCGTTTGCGTTTCGACTTGCAAGATGAGGCTTTAAATTTAATAATGTTGAGGCTGAGGGCTGTTTAGGCTGAGGCCTGATTTATAGGGGCTTATTATCAGCGTCTCCTGGGCTCCGCGAAGGGTTCAGAACCATGAACCTTGAACCTTAAATTTGAGAGTCTATAGACTTGAGGGTTCGCCGCATTTTGGCAGGACGTGTACGTGGAACATTGACTGTGATATATTGCAGGAAGTTGTAGACAGGGCGAAAAGTGTAGCTGCCATGGCACCCTTGTCTCAGAAGCGGCGAAAACGCGCGCCAGCAGAGACAAATACGGTGAAGGAAGGCCGAACTGCCCAGGAGTTACAGAAACTTCTGAAGGACTTGGTGTCGGATCCGCAAGTTGTTGCCCGCAGAGATACCGCGCCGGTGGTCTTACCCAGGCGAAAGAGGCTGCGTCTTTACAGCGACTGCGCTGGCATGGGTTGCGATCTTGTGGCGCTGACCTTGTGCGGCCTCGCGAAGCATTGTCATTTGGTCGGTTGGAGTGAGATAGACGAAGGAAAGAGGAAACTGCACAACTTGGTGCGCCAGTACCTGCAGTTCCCGGGAGACGAGGCAGAAGCCCCGGTAGACGTCAGCACCAGAGATCATGAAAGGGCGAAAGCCTGCGACATATATGTCGCAGGCTTTCCGTGTCCTAGCTTCAGTTCACTGGGGAAAGGGGCCGGAGACAGGGAATTTCGAGGACAGCTGACATACCACGGGCTGCTGTACGTTTGCTACCATCAGCCCCGAATAGTTATACTAGAGAATGTGCAGGGGCTCCTTCAGAAACGTCATGCTGGCCTCACCAACTGCATCAAAGAGACTCTGACAAGTTTGGGATACAAGGTCTACTGCAAGACATTGAACACGATGGACTACGGAATACCACAGAGTCGACCACGAGTGTTTATCGTTGCAGTCCAGGAGAAGTACAAGAAGCACAAATTCCGCTGGCCAGCCCCAATCGAGCACTCGAAGAAAGCTCTCGGGTTTTTCTTGGACACCCAGACGGTTGGTGACGACAACACCGTTGATTTGTTCAAGTTCACCAGCAAGTTCGGCGAGGACATCTACAGGAAAAGTTGCGTGCTGGACGTGGGCTGCAGCGACAGGTGGGCAAATTTCAAACCCGGCGTGGCTCCTTGCCTCACCAGGTCGAGGCTGAACAAGGACCCCCTAAATTTGTACATTCCACGTTTGAGACGGCGTTTGAACCTGGGTGAAGCAGCAAGACTGCAAGGTCTGCCCCGTGCTCTGGCCAAAACCCTGGTGAGAGGAACCTCGAAGAAGATCTTTGGAAGTGCTGTGGGGGATGGAATGTCTATCAACGTCCTCTGCAAGGTTCTCCTGGCCGCTTTGCATTGCGTCGGATACATTGAGAGCGCGACACAGCTTGACCCCTGGCAGGAAACAGCTACGGGTTCGAGCCTGGCTGACGCAGCTGACGCAGCACTGAAAAGGCAGATTTCGTGAGGGGCTGTGCAAGACATTCAATCTCTCTGCTGTCTTACTTCACGCTTCTTTCTCATGGTTTTACCTTGGAAAGGCACCCTGCTCGTATGGTCTTACCTGGGGTGTGCTCAGTGCTCTGTTTTGAGCAGATGAGAGAGGCAGACTACTTGCCGCACTTTGCTGAGATGCGAAAGTAAAAGGAAGTCTGATTCGGAATTCAGGTTTTGATGTTGTGAAGTGATCCGTCATGTGCCGCAGCACGGGATGAGGGTTTAGGGTTTAGGGTTTTAAGGCTCTACGGCTTAGCCTGAACCCTGCCTGCACCATGAAGCGTACTTTGCTCGAGACTTGCAAGTGACAAGGAGCAACGCGAGCCAGCTGCTGTAGTAGGGATGCCTCCCAAAAAAGCCGCTGTGCTTCCCGATGGGGTTCCGAAGAACTGGACTGCTTGGAGGTTGACCGCAGCAGACAAGGACTGCTGCGTCCTGTGCCTGCGGCGTTTGGGGTCGGATTTGTTTGGGGTTTACAAGTCGTCTAAGGGTTTCGGGTTTGTCTGTGGCAGGAAGAGATCCAGAAGAAGCTGACGGAGTTTGAGGCTTCCAGCGAGTTCCAGGAAATCCCAGAGGAAAACAGAGAAGTGTCTCACTGTCATAAATAGTATCCTTTTTGATTTTGTTTCGTGCTCAGCTTCAGACCGAGATGTCAGAGTTGAGTGTACATCTGTGCAGGGCGAGAAGACCAAGAAAAGAGAAGATTTGGAAAGGGACGCCAAGATGGCCAGAGCCAAAGCAGCGGCCGAGAAGAAGCAACAGGCGCAGGGCCCAGGTGGTCTTACCTCTTCCGCCCCAAGTGCTCAGCTTCCCAAGAAAAAAGCAGCCCCACCTCCCGCACCACTGGACGTGAACAACGCAGACTACTACAAGAATGTCCAAGAAGACCTGCAAAAAATCCTGAAGGTTATGGGGTCTGATTTCGGAAGGAAGGTCGCAGAGCAGATCGCAGCCAAAGACAAAGATGGCGACGGCGGAGTCCAGGACGATTTCTTGTTGTTAGTACTGTAGCCTGGGTTGTGATTTCTTGTTTTGCGATGATCAACCTGATGCCAGTAGCATGCACGTTTCGACAGCGCAGGAGCCATACAACAAGGAGATGTGTGAGCGTGCGATGGGCAACCAGGGCCAGTATGTTGCGGCAGGCAATTTGCTGTGGGTGGACGTGCTAAGAAGTCCTTCACCAGGGGTTCCACTCAGCTTCCGCACCGCCCAGGAATTGGCCGACTTCCGGTGGCCTGCGGATAAAGAACCCAGTTTCGCACGCGTGCTACTGCAAGTCGTTGGGCCAGTCCCGGGTCATGTCCCGGATGTCCCCCAGGCGTTGCAGACGCTGACTCCCGAGGGCTACGTGCATTCGATGCTGCATGCATGCGCCAGGCAGCTGCCAGAGCAGAAGGATCGGTGGTCCCTCATCCTGCGATCTGTGCCCTTGTGCTTTGTGCAGGAGCCCGATGATGAGTGGATCGCAAGCTGGAACAATCGCAATGCCATCGCTCAGGATTTTGAGTCCTTAGCAAGAACAGCATTTCAAATGGCCCAAGAAATGAAGCTGCTGAAAAAGCGTTTGGAGACGGAAGCGAAGAGACCATTGTCAAACGCAGAGTTTCAAAAGCAAATCAAGGATTCGGGGCTGAAGAAAGCAAGCAGCCAGGATGAGCTGTCGACGAATCTCATCTCCACCGCACTTGCAGTGGCTGACAAACTGACAGGCGAGGAAGTGCTGACAACAATCAGAGATTTGGAAGACAGGTGTGGCCGAGGCAGTTGCCTGAATTCTATGCAGAAGCTGCACGCATTGGCAACAAAGACAACTCCAGGCAAAAGGGGTTTTATCTTCCAAGCTCTACGGGACATGATTTTCCGCAACATGGTTGATAATGATGATGTCAGCAAGACTTTCCTGGCGGGGGACGGGCACAATACATGCGGTTTCATTGCCCTGACAGAACTGAAGCTGGAGTGTTTGGCCCACTTCAAGGCGGTGGTCTTACCCCGAGCGCAAATCCGTGAACACGACCGCACCGTCATTTCAGAAACACTGCTGGACCATGCGACATATAACGAAAGAATGCTGGGTGATGACGTGGCTTGGCAGGGCATGCTGCTGGAGTCGAGCATGCAAGCCCTCAGATTTTTAGAGGTGCGTCGGGGGTGAAAGAACCCCAAGTTAGCCCCAACGCTTGCATTCTAAACCCTATGAGCTTTTAGACCCTAAACCTAAACCCGAACATTTTTTTGCTGAGAGCCCAAAGGGAGCCGCGCAATAATTCTTAGACGCAGCAGGATCTGGTCTACAGTAAGAAGTACGACAATCACCTGAAGCAGCTGGCTCGAGGAAAGAAAAGCATGGAGGAGGTCATGGAAAACGAGGTCCTGAAAGAGAAGTGGGGCCAGGTCCAGCAGCTGAGAACAAACGAGCTTGCAGAGGAGAAGGTCAAGCTGCGGCGCGAAGCCGAGCCCGAGGAAACGCCGGAAGACCCAGACGCCGGCACGCCCCTGGCACAAATGCGGAAGCCAGCAAGCAGTTTCACGGAGGAGACCGAAGCCTACTGGTTGGCGGTGGCGAATGAGATGGTGAGACGTTTTGTCAGTTTCATGGTTTTACTTGAGACACAAAATCAAATGATGCAGCTTGTAGCACAGTCCGTGCTCAAAGACGTGGAGGTGGTGGCAGGCTCTACGTGTCTCGCCTGAGATTTTTTTGCAGCAGCAGTTAATGTCGCAGGCCAGAAACTAGAAACGTTAACGCTTTCATGTGTAGCCTCTAGATCTGATCTCCTCAGGTGCTGCTGTTTGTGGATGGACATGGACCTCCTGGGTGAGTCGTGCGGTGGTCCACTTGCACAGCGCGGCTTGCGTCGTTCGAAGCCCTTCGAGGTAAGCACGTGGAAGTCGCTTCTTCATGGAGCTCTCCTCGCACGCGGAGCGCAGCAGAAAAGCGATGACGGTGAAGCGCCAGTGCCGTGCGACACAGACTTGGTGCTCATCCACTCTGGTGGACGGCAGGACATTCTGGCATCCGCACGGCAGATGTTCCGTTTGGAGAAGAGCAAGCAAGTCGTGAGCACGGATGCTTGGGAGAAGAAAGTCGGAGTTGTCTTCAATGAAGAAGGCATCAGGCAACGCAAGAAGCGCGTCAAAACCAGCGACGGCTACAGCCAGCAAACGGATGTGTTTGCGTACACACAGAAGGGGTGTGTGCCAGAAACCTTTCCTGAACGACGCAGGAAGCACTACAGCGGGTATAACACGGGCGACGTCATCGGTTGGGTTGACTGCGTGGGACCAGACGAGCTGTGGGTGACCAGCAGGTTTGGATTCAGCCCTGAAAACCCCTCAGCCCCAACCCTGAGTCCCTAAGTCAGGAGTTAAGCCCCCCAGGGCCTGAATAACGCCCAGATTTTCCATGCTTGAGGTAAGCCTTAAATCCAAGCCATTGCTTCACAATTGCCAAATTGTATGGCTGCTGCGCAGGCAAGAAAAGGAAGAAATTCTCGGACAGAAGGGGATCCTCAAGTTGACCGACAAGGAGAAGATTGGCGACTTTCCGGCATTGAGTTTTTAGCAGATATGTGTTAATTTGTATTCTCAGCAAAGGCCTGCAAGACACGAAAGTGGGCGAGGAGGCGAGCTCGGTGGAGTCTGTCTTCCCGTCCGCAAAGTTGCCGATCAAATTCCATCTGGAGACACTCTGGTCTTACTGTGTGTCTTGCGCAATAGATTTCACACCCGGGCAGGGTGATTTCCTGCGAGCCTGTGTGGAGTCGAGAACGCCCGTCCTATGCTTTGGTCTGACAGAGAAGCACAACAAGTGTCTGGAAGAGCAACTGACAAAATGGGTTGTGAAGTGCATGGCGACAGAGGGAAGTAGTCTGCACCGCAAAAATGCTAAGCAAGTCCTTGACCTTCTGAAGAAGCGCCCGCTCCATGTTGGCGATGAGAATGGGGGCACCGAGGGCGAGCCCACACTGAAGAAGCCCAAAAACGGGGTGCCGAAGAAGACACCGAAGCCAAAGGACTCCAAAAAGAAAGACCAGTCCTCTGACAGTGGCGAGTCCGCCAAGAAGACTACGAAAAAAGAAAAGTCTAAGAAGAGCAAGAAATCTAGCAAAAAGAAGAAAGAGGAGAGCTCCTCGTCTTCCAGTGCGGAGCCATGGTAGGCAAGTCCATGAGGCCTGGGCTCAGCACCTGGTCTTACCGGATTGTTCGTTCTCGTGCATTTTGCTGCAGCCGCTCCAAACTCTGGTCTTACCGGCAAGAGCGTTTTTGGCTGACGCGGATCCTGGCATTCCCTTGAGGGCTTGCGGCTCAGAGATGTGTTTGTGGAAATCCGTGATTGCTGCAGGCAGAGCAGACCGCGATCGGTTACCCTTTTCGTATAACCCAGGCCCTTGCAAGGCACGAAACCTAAGATAGATGCAGACTCTTTAAAGCCGCAAGCAAGATCATACATAGTCTTCCCGCCCTGTGCCCTGTGAGGCCTGCTTTTTGCTTAGGTGCCAAAGCCTGATCAAGGCCATGAGGCCTTGCGGATCAGTTGCAGAACAGCGCATCCTGGCGCCAAAACAGATTTTGTATAGGCTGAGCAGCGTGCCGGATGTGACTAGAGAGGAAGGGCACATAAGGAGTCAGGAAACCCAAATTGGGTTTAGAATTTAGGGTTTAGGGCTTATAGGGTTTAGGGCTTAGGGTTTAGGGCTTAGGGTTTAGGGTTTGAGTTGAGGGTTTAGGGCTTAGGTGTTAAGGTTTAGGGTTTGGGGTATTGAATACCATAAAACCCTAAACCCTAAAACCTTGAACCCTTATTCTAAACCGTTAACCCTAAGCCTGGCAACACTAAAGAAGTTTAAACTGACCCCACACGAAGACCTGTTGCCCCAATAAGCATTTTCGGCAGTCGTTGGGTGTCATGGTGGTTTCAACCTCAACGCGTAACCCTAAACCCGGAACCCTTAACCCTAAGCCCTAAACCCAGGGTATGGCTCTATAAATTGTGCAGCCCCATGAGTTCAAGGTTCCAGCGCCCGGAAACCTAAAAGCAAAAACTGAGGCCATTGCTCTTGCGAAGTCCACGACACTATGCAAAAGAGTTCTTTAATGTTTCTTGCGAGATCTTGCGAGTCAGCAGATAACAATGAGGGCAGTAGATTTTAGATTTTACTAGCCAGGGGCGTGGATCCAGAAACTTGCAAGAAATAGCCCTGCAAGGGGTCCACAGCCGACGAACTGGCAGCTGTCTAGAAGCATGGAAAGGTTGTGCACACACCTGTTTCACAATAAACATCAAATCTGGAATGTCAAGTAAAAGGTCAAGAACATACAGACGATGCGATACGGATACAGATGTTCGAGCAGGGGTGTGGCGCCACAGAATACTTGCATGGGGCCTTCCTGGCCGTGCCGAACATGCAAGGGGCCCACATCTCTCACACTGCTCTGTTCTACAACATCATCTTGCTCCTAAGCCCCGAAGCCTTGTCTAACCCTTAACTCCTGAGACCCTTACTAACCCTGAAGGTACAGCTGGTCGGACGCACCCACTGCACCTTAGAGCATTCGGTTTTTCGCCCTCTGCACGATAGAGTTTGTCTACATACGGAAACGTTGGGAAAATTAACCGGATGCAGGGTAAGACCACGGCATCTCACATAGCTTAAAATGAACCTGATGCAGGGTAAAACCACCGCATCTCACCAGTACTGGCCTGAAGCTTGCTCCTTGCCGACAATCTGTCGCTGCAAGTCGAGTCCTCATCAAAACGGCACGGGATAAGACCTCCGCAACTCAGTAATACCAGGACACTGGAGCTGTTTGAGCTTGAGCTGCTTTTTTTTTCTCCTTCCGTCGGGCTTGACGACACGCGTTTCGGCTGACATAAGCATGGTGATGCTGAGATGCAGTTTCTTTTGGGGCCACAGCCGACTTGGCTTTCGCTGCTATCAAGCTTGGCGGTTTAGCAGCAGGCCCAGGTGTTGAATTCCCAGCGGAGCCGGATGAGCAGCTTGCCCCCGTGCAGAAATTGTGGTTGCTTGCAAGGTTGGCGACCTGCTCTTGTGGGATCGGTGCGACGTTTGCGGAATTTGTTTCAACTGGCACGGGTAAGACCACGGTGAGCTCTTGTCCTTGATTGTCGGTCTTCTTTTTGAATGGGCTTGGAGCAGCTCCATACTGCAAGCCTCTCTGTATTTCCTCTTCATGCGCGTGGAAGTAATGTCTCAAAAAAACTCGTGGGTCAGAGCGATTCTGCAGCTCCATGATTACATGTTGCGACGGCTTGGCGCTCTCGAGCGATTTGTCGCTGTTGAACAGCAGGAGAGCAGCGCTTGTGTGGCGGGTGGCGCCATGAACAGTGACTCTGTTGCCTCGACATCTAACACTCGGGTTCCACCGCCTTTCGTGGTTTGTGAGCTCATACATCACCTGCCGCACACGGTCCAAAGCACCCCATACCGTTTGCCTTGCCATGGTTGCTCGGCAACCCTTCTTTTTGGATTCCGACGGAAAGATGTAGTCTGAATTTCCCCAATCAGGTTTGAAAGTTTGCTGTCGCATCGGGGTAAAACCACCACCTTTCTTGCCTTGGAAGACTGTTGGGTGGGTTGTCCGGTATGGTTCTAGAGCTGGCAGGCATTGCCAATTTAAGCCTTCCTCTTTCATTCGGGTCAATCCGTCCACTGCTTCGTCTGAAAGTCTGGCAACAACTCTTTCCTCGGGCAGCTTTCCGTTTCCTTGATCGCCTTCTGCGCGTTGAAAGAGAATGTGGGGCGAATCATGATCCTCGCCACCGCGCAGGCGAACATCTGAACCTTTGAGCAGCACTGTTTCCCCAATCCTCCTCGACGTGATAAGAGTTATCCACAGGACAGCGCAATAGCAGGGACCAGCGAAGTAGAGTGCCACCGCAAAAAAAAGCGGTAGCTGTTCGCGAGGGATAAAGACGTGCTGTTTGCTTGTTTTGCTGTGCTTGCGGCCCTTATTCCAGGCAGGTGGGCGTTTCTTCGATTTGGAAGTCACTTGCCGAGCCTGCTTGCGGAGGGCAGGCTGCTGTGGACTTTGCGCCTTGCGTTTCTGCCTGGTCATCCTGGGTGCGACCGCGGGCCTCGGGGTAGCCTTTGGCTTTTGCCTGGTCAGGCCGGGTAAGACCACAGGCCTCACAACAGCTGCGGGTTCACGAGCTCTGACTTGCGCGCCACTCCTTGGTGCCATTGCAAAGGCATGAAGACAAGGCTTTTAATTTGTGCTCGACCCGAAGTGGCTGCAGCAGACACAGGTGGCAAGAATGACTGCAACTTACCGACGGCGGTGGGGCAACTTACCGAAGGGGGCGTCGGTAAGTTGGAGCCTTTTGGTGAGCCTTT